CTTTATAAAGTAAGTATTAAAATTTAAGTTCTTTTATTTTTAATTATAGAAATAATTTTAAATATTTTAAATTTAATTAAAATCTCTAAATATTATTTCTAAATAATTAAGTAAGTTAGAATAGTCTAAGAATTAGGGGATACTAAATCTTATTTTAAGTAGGATTAATTTATAAGCCTTTTTAGTTAGATATCCTATTATATAGGTTAGTCAGGCTTTAATAGCTAGAAAATAATCTAGATTAGTATTTATTTTACTATAGATCTATTATATAAAGTAGTAAAGATTAGAATAAGTACTATTAAATTTTTATAGGTTAGGAAGTTTCTTACTAAAATAGATATTAAGAAAAGGGCTAGTAAAAATAAGTATAAGTACTTTTATTATATTAGCTACTATAACTTTAATAAGGGAGGTATATTTAGTAGAGATAAGAATAGTAATAGGAATAAATATAGTAAAGGTAATAATAATCTATAGTATAATAAATATATACTTAAATTTAATTAATTTCTATTAAATTACTTCTAGTTCTTCTTTTTAATATAGTATTACTCTCTTCTTTTTAACTAGCTCTAGGCTAGCTTTATTAGCTTAGTTTTAAAGGGCATGAATCTTCTTCTTTAGGGAATTAGTATATCTATTATAAGATCTAAGGTAAATAATCTAGGTAGTAGAGTTATTAGTAATATAGTTTATAAACTTCTTAACTAAGTCTATAATTAGGGGTAGTTTAGATTATTTTAATATATTAGTAGTAGCTATACCTAGGGTAGGAGCTATATAATATTACAGGGAGTAGGCAGGTAGTAAGTATAGCTAATAATAAGGTATATATTCAGGCTATCTATATATAGGTATAATAGGTAGGAGTTAGGTCAGGATAAGGATGTAGCTTAAAGAGCTATAACAGGATTAGGGGCAACATGGCTTAAATATAGGAGTAGAGGTGGATAGTTAGGGCAGAATCTAACCAGATAGGTACACGGCTACACCATGACAAAGATATAAAATATAGCTATATAATTCTTAAGAATATAGCTTATTATAAAGAAATAGTATATAACTTAATATTATTTATATTACTAAATTAAATAAATATCTATTTTAAGAATAATCCTAACTCTAACTTACTCTACACCTCTAAAGGTATAGTAATAGCCTATCTTAATAAGAAATATAACTAATTTATAATAGAATATAATAGTAAATTATATAGTATAATAGGCTAGGTAATATTTTAAATTATTACTAGTATTAGAGATATAAAATAGTAGTATTTATGCCTTGGATATCCAGGACTATAAGTATTAGATTATCTAGTTAAGAATACTAAGGAGGTAAGGATTAGAGGACCTACTATAATAGAATATAATACCTATAATATAGTAAAAATAAAGTAAAAAATTAACTAAAAGAACTATATTACTATAGAAAAACTAGATCTATAGTTAGTAATTAACTTTTATAACTTTAAAATAGGAATAGATAACTACCAAGCCCTATTATTAGTTATAAATAAGTAATTAGGTTTTATATAAGATTATTACCTCTTAAACTAATATATAAAGATAATTAAAAATACCCTGCTTAATCTATTTATCCTCCTAGAGAGGTAATATAATATCAAATCCTAAGTAATTAAATTAGATAGTAAGATAAAGGAATAGTTAGAAGACTTTATATAATTTAAAGGAGCAAGACTTAACTACTTTACTCTATATATACTAGCCTAAAATAGAGGTACAGAGTACTTAGAAGGTATAATAAAAGAGAAGGTATATATAATAAGATAGGGAGTAAAACTACTTATATTTTTATAGCCTAAATATATCTATATAGTAGTATACCTATATAACTAAATACCTAAATATTAGGTAAGATAGAAAATACTAATTAACTAATTCTATATTTATATTGCCTACTAAGATAGAATAATAGTAGAATACAAGAAATTCTAAAGAGCTTACCTAAAGATATATAGATATAAGATATTTATAATAATTAAATTATAAGTAACTATAATAGTAAAGTATAAAAAATAGTTTAACTTAAAAATATTTATAAAATATATAATAAGATATAAATCTACTAATATTTATTAAATATAAAACTTAAGAAAGGAAAAGAAGATTATCTATATAAAAAATATTATATTTAATAAGGAAGAATTCTTCTTAAGAAATAGAGATATATTTATTTAAGTAATAAAAAATAACTTCCTAATAATTAAAATTAATAAATTTAAATAAATAATTAAAGATATTAAAGTTAAAACCTATATTCTAATCTAAGGAGTATTAAATATAGATTACCCTATAATAAGAGATATTCTAGAAAGTAATTTTAACTTACTTAATTATCTAATTTAAATATTAAGATTAGTACTTAAAGCTATAAATAAGGATAAAGATATTAATATAAATAAGTAAATAGCCTATCTAATACTACTAGGTAGTAGCCTAGAATAGTTAGTAGTAATATTAGCAGGTACTTACTAATATAAGATAGCTAAAATTAAAGAAGAAATTAAGCTAAATAAAAGCTACTAAATTATATAGAAATTAGTATTCATGGCAGGGAGGTTAATATAATTAATCTAATAAGATAGAATACTAGCCTCTAAGGCAAAAATATAAAGATAAAATAGGTAACTAGAAAGTTTAATTAGGATCTACTTAGATTAGCTACTAACCCTTCTAAAGATATACTACCAAGTTAAAAACTACCTACTATTTAAAGAATTTATAAAGGTAGAGTAGGACTACCTAGCTAGTCATGAAATAATAAAAATATAGATAGAAGTAGATAGACCTAAGTATATAAAAATATTAGAATATAAATAAGTATATATATATAAAAGTAATTAAAATAGTAACTTAACTAAATATAAAGTATATCTAGTAGTAAGAGGAGATTAATAAAAGGATTTAATAAAGAACTTATATACTATAACTCTAGTAATAAGATTTTTTTAAACCTTCCTAGTAATAGTAGCCTGATTTAATCTAGAATTAAAATAATATAATATTATAAATATATTTATTAATATAGATAATAATAAAGAAATATATATAAAAATATCTTTAGAATATTAAAAACTAGATAAAGTATTAAAACTAAAGAAAATACTATATAAACTTAAATAGTCCCCTTATTTATAATAGATAACTCTCTAAAAGGTCTTAAAGTTACTAGAATATAAACCTATTCTATATAAACTATATTATATTATTAGAGGTAGGATCTTAATATTCTTTTATATAAATAATATTATATTTACCTATTATTAAAAATTATTAGTATAAATACAGGCCACTATATAAGAGCTTTAGGACTAGTTTAAGATAATAGGAGGAAATAACCTGTAATAGTTTCTAGGAATAAAGATTACCTAGGATAGAGAGAATAAGCTTATCTAGCTAGGTTAGTTAGCATATATTAATAAGATTACTAACCTAGTAGATAAAAAGGAAGGTCTAGATATTACTTCTATATTAGTAAAAATAATACTTTAGAAAGATTAAGATAGAGTATTTTACTTATATACTTAATAATATTAATAGAAGATAGGATCTATAATATATATAATAGTTATAATATAACTAGATATTATATTTATAATATTCTAGCTATTCTAGTACCTTATAAACCCTAGTAAAGAATACTATACTAAAGTAGATTAATATTTATAATATTTAAAAAGAATAAATAAACTTATTCTATAACTTAGAGATTTAGATAACTACCTATTATATAGTAATACCTTATTTATAGATAATTAGGACTAGAGAAGCTTATAGGGGTATATTATGAAGCTATTTAGAGGTATAATAGGGTGGAAAGCTAGTAAGTAGGTAATTATAATAATTTCTATAACTAAAGTAGAATTATTAGTATTATTATATATAGTAAAGGAAGGAATCTTTACTAAATATTTACTAGATAAAATTTAGGTAGAGTTAGAGAATCTAATTATTAATATTTAATATAATAATATACAAACTATCTAACTAGTAAATAAAGAAATTAACTACCTAAATATAAGGCTATACCATGTAAATATCTATAACTACTAGATTAGGCAGGAAATCTAGAAAGAAAGGATAAAAGTATTATATTATCTTACTACTAAGATAATTATAGATAAGTTAACTAAGATACTACTCTACCAAAACTTTAAGGTATTTATAAAGGATTTAGAGATAGTAGAGAGACTAAAGTTAATAGATAACCTATTACTAAATATAGTTTAAACCTATCTAGAATAAGGATAGCATCTTAAATTATATAATTATAGGTTTAAACTAGATGAAATCTTTTGAACCTGAGGGGGTGTATTGAATTAAAGGGGTATCTCATGATATACTTAGTAAGTAAAGAGGGGTTATTACCCTATATTAAGGCCTTAGGCAAGCACACAACCCCCCAACAGACACACACATCAATATATCCGATCACCTGCTTCCATTGAGCTACCCCTAGGATCATCATATATCCGACAATTCACCCCTATCCCTCCTCAGAGCCGGGGCATTACAAGTCCAGACGCATGCAAACAAATGCGGTGACTATGCCGATCCTATTTTAGAGGGTGGGGCGGAAATTCACGACATGGTGTGCGCTCGACCAACGGAGAATGAGCAATTAGCTTGCCCCTGGCTCGCTAGCCGGCACGAAGCTGCTTCGGCGGAAGGAAAGATTCCCTAACCTTAGCGAGCCCCTCCGTTCCCAAGGACAATGAGGCCTTGCTTTTAGTGGTCTGGGGCTGTGTCTAGATGGTGGTTGACTGCGCTATGACGCCAGGTTTCCCTCTATATGTTTTGTGATCGGCGCCTCTGGATCTCAGGAAATACAAAGTATACGGGGGGGATGTAACAATTTAGGAAAAGGGGATATTCTTCTCCCCTTTTCCTTTTCCTTTCTCTTCTTTCCACCCTATGGTTGTCATCATATAGGGACGTGCGCGCACATGACCTAATGTGCTGGTGCTCAGGTGAGATTGCTCGCCACCCAGCTAAGGGTGGTCGATTATATCCATTCTCCTAGGTACATGTTACCTGTCAATAACCCAGAATGGGAATTGTGTGGAGTAACCAGGTATATTCCATCAATTAAAAGCACTATCTGAGAGCCACAAAGTTTGATTTTTACACATCACACGGCGAAAAAAAAAAAAGGGAAGAAACAACAAGACCAGCCCAGAAAGGAGAAGCAAGAGACGGAAAAAGCAAAATACTTGAAATACCCAAGAACTCAAATCCCTAAAACCTGTTTTTACTTAAAACAGAAACTGAGGTTCGTCATCATGATCGTTACAATATTAATACGAAATGGCCTTCCGGAATGTTCAGGGAGGAAGGAAATTGAAAGAGAAATACGCCGAGGAGACCAGCTTCCTGCGGTGTTTTAGTTGTCGTCAAAGGCGTACTTCTTGGACGCTCGCCGGTACTCGTCGGGGTAAATGCTCTCGGCCTTAGCTTTTAGGGCACTAAATGGCAGAATCTCGTCAGTTCGCTGAAAATCAATCTAGGGCAGCAGATTTTTTGTCCGTCGAAACTAATCGCCCAGCTGCACCTATGACGTGAATGCCGCCAAGAATTCTCCCCATGGCGGAGCGCGGCGGACATCCGCTCTTCCTCTCGGCGGAGCGGAAGTCGACGACAACCCAACAGGAGTGCTTGGGGGGTGGGGTTTGCAAAGACTACAAAGATGCTTAGAACTCACTTGACACGTTTCTGCGTCCATTCTAGATCGCGTTTGGTCTCGCGAGCAACCTTGATGCCGTCCGCGAAATTCGCCCGGACGCCCTTCAAGCGTCTCTGGGCGAGAGCTTGTAGCTCAAGAAGTTCTCGCTGCTTTGCATTCAGCTGACCAGAGCTATTTCGGACCGCTGTCAGTAAAATGTCACCAAATATTATATCCGCCACCAGCGGCCCAAATACCTGCAGTGGCCACGAGTTCGCTCTTGTCGGTGAGGAAAACGGGGGATACAAAGGGGATGCTTACGTTTGCGCCTGCATTGCTAACGCTTTGTCCAAAGGCGTCGGGTCGAATGCGTTTTGCATGCGGTCATTTAGAATGTCAACAACATCGACACCAGAGTAGGAGGCAGAGCTGGACTCATAGTCGCCGCTTCCGGAACTGTAACTGAATCCGCCGGAGGTACGGCTTCCAACGGTAGTGCTGGTATCCGACAGATCCGGAGGGGATCCAGACACTCGACTGATGGGATAGAGACTCGCAGGACCCGGAGCTTTGGAGGGCACGCTCATGGGAAGAGCGGGAGACTGGTAGTGGTGGGTAGCCATTGTGGTAAGATAGAGACACACTTGTTCCAAGTAGGTGAGTCCGGAAGGGAGTGGTCACAAGGAGTAATGGTCTTCAAGCAAGACGGTATAAAAAAATGTCACGAGGAAAGACCCGGCGACGTCTATCAAAGTCAAGAGGAGGATAGGACTTGGGACAGAAAGAAAGAAGGAGCAGACAGGAAGATCAAAGGAAAGATAAGGCTTTTTATAACCCCCCGGCGGACGGTCTTCCATCCGGCGGAGCCATCCTCGAAGAGGACGACGAGGAGGAGGAGGGATAAAAGAGGATGAAAGGGGAAGGGGACATGATGAACGGGTCAATCATTGGGCGAAGGGCTATCACGGAGGACTTTTCTCCTGTACCCCCTCAACCCCCGTCCTCCTAGTTCCTCCAGTTCCCTTCAGTCCCAACCCCCCAATTCCGCCCCTCCCTCTAGCCCTGGCCGCCAATTCGCTCCTCTTTCCGAATTGACCCCGCTCTGGGTGGGAAGACGAAAACTAAGGAAGCCAAATGGATGACTGGGGACTGGTCCAGCCCTTCCTGTCACGTCTCCATTTGGACCAAATCCCGTATTCTGGTGGCAACATAATGCCCGAAGGCATTAGGTCTGTCTAAACACTTTTCTTTTCTTTTTTTCTCTTTTTTCTTCTTCTTCGGGTTGCAAAGGAAATTGGGTCAAGAGGGGCACAAGAAATATAAAAGTGGGAGACATGGACAAAAGGCAAGGACTATTTGTCTCGGGCTGATCCGCATATTTTATAGATGGAGGTTTCCCGGTGGTCAACTACTCCTCCCACCTCCCATTTTATTTTGCCCCTTTTTTTTCTCTCTTCTCATCTTTTTCTCTTTTATTGAAACCATTGCCTCCAAAATTGGAGGTTTTATCACCGTTTCCCCTCCATCTCAGCTGAGCGGATCCATGTTCTTGTCAATATTAGGGGGCTGGGTGGCTGGGAATACATAGGCGTTAAAGAGAAGGATCGGGTTTATTCGACAAAGGAAGATGACGATATGAGGACTGAAAAGCTACAGGCTGGTAATTTATGACAAACCAAATTATCTTTGCCATTTGATGTCCGCCGATATGAATCTTGGTGTCTGTTCCCTATGCTTGTGAATAGGATTTTGGGTCAAGAAGGTTACTGCAGCTATGGATGAATATAAGGTGAGTATAAAGACAATCAGTATGGGGTCATGTGTTGTTGTTGTTGGTCACCTTACTATATTTTCATCTAACTTCCTTTTGCTTTGATTTTGTGCCCAACCCCCTGGGCTCCGAGACCTTTGTTTTGCAAATCTTCGCCGGATCAAAAATTCGTTATGAAAAGCGGGGTGGCTGACGCAATCATAGAGTTCACGATATAAGAAAAGGTTGAAGATATCGAATGTTGAGGGAGTTAGACATCACTGCATGATCTGGAGCCGAAGGAGCAAAGGGCAGGCAAGACATCCCAAGCTCCGAAGATAGGTCTTGCCTGGCACCATATCGATTCCGGCAGCCTGAAACTACTTCGAGTGGCACAGCAAGGCAGAAAATGACTCGCAAAAACGGAACCAGCACGGTGTAACCAAAAAAAAGGCCCGTTCTGCTCTACCAGAAGAGGTTCATCGAAGCCGCCTGTTGGCGGATGTCTACACCCTTAGGACCGAAAATGACTTCACGCCCTAGAGATCAGACCCGGTACCAGGAAACGAAACGGCGACAAGCGCTCTAGACGCCGCCAACATGGAATGTTCAATGGGGAGCAGATTGGAGTGGACCTAACCCAATTGAAAAGTTCGAACTACGTGCAGATACCGGGGATCAATGGAATCGGTCCACCTCCAAACAGAGACCAAAGACTGCCCTGCATGCTTCGGAATCCATTTTTTTCCCCGTCGGGAAGCCATTAGAATGAGATGAGGGAGGAAGGGACTGGAAGAAGGCGAAAAGGTGGAGAAAAAGATTCATGCAAAGAAAAACGAATTCTCCCGCAACCCCCTTCGCTGACATGATGATCTGACAGCTTAGGACATAGAGTGCATGGCATTCTTGTCTTCAAGTGGACGACCAACTTGGGCAATGGAATCAAACACCACTTAAAATCTTGGGACTTCTCACGATGACATCCACCCACAACCACCGAGACCACTAAAATCCCAGTTCCCCGGGCCCCGAATGCAAGTCTCAAGCACCGTCATTGCCTTACGTCGTCGCTGCCTCGCGCCATCCCAAAATTCTCCCCTTATGCCGTTGGCTGGGCCTTCCTTTCTGTTTCTAACGATGCCTGAGCACTACCAAAAGGCAGAGGCTGCACAAAACTAATTGCAACAAAAAAAAAAAAAAACCCTCCCTTTCTTTCCTCTCATACGAGCCCGACCGGACTACTGGGTAACACGGAAGCCCAACGACACACGACGCAAATAATCTAGAGGTTGGGTTGGGACGTTCCTTCGGCATTCCAGGATTCCAAACCTACGATTGCATGGCTTTCCCCTCTTTTTTTTTTTTTTTTTTTTTTTTTTTTCTCTCCCCTAAACTGGCAAAGCAAAAAAAAAAAAAAATAAAGATTCCTGGCTCTCTGTCGCCTGAGGAATGGCGGCTCTCAAAAATTGTCTGCGTTTACCTTAATCGGGTAGGCTCTATGCAACATTCTGCTTGAAATTTCACCTGTGCTGCATGAGATTCCTGTTAGTATCTGCCTTGAGCAGGCTGCTGGGTGCTGCTGCATGTCTCCATTTTAACCCACAGCGAATAACGGGGGAAACCCTGTGCGGGTAAGTAGGGAAATTATGGAGAGTATACGGAGTATCTTTTTTTTTTTTTTTTTTTTTTGGCTTCCAACTCTGTCCGGGGAACTTGCATTTTCCCACGCGAGCTGGCAAGATCACCACCACACTTCCCATTGAAAGATGGAAAGAATTACCAGGTGCAGAAAGGGTGTGGGATGCACCAAAATGTGGGGGTTGGGTGGAATTCGCCCAGTTATTATTCGTTTGCTCGCGCTGTTTCTCACCGCCACATGCAACCCCCGATAAGTCACAGTCGGCGGCTGAATCAATTTGACAATTAAAAAGAGGTTTTTTTTTGGGGGGGGGGGGGTCTTCAGACTGATTTACGGAGTAGCTGCTGGCTGTACTCCGTATCTAGGGACTGGCTGGCTTGATTTGATACCTAGTTATAGGCCAACTAGCCGGCTCGGATGTCAAGGAACGAACTAACTCCCAACCATCTAGACCCTTGTCTGGCTTTTCTGGAACATAGTGGGCTGATAATAAGAAGGGGGAGGGAGATCATGCTCCTCTCCTCCTCCTCTCCGTCCAGCCCAAGAAGGGTGGTGATGTTCATCTTTCCTCGGCCTTGAAACAGGTACTGTATTCTATCTATACAATGGGCAGGATTCACACAGTGTATACTGAAGAGTGCCAAGTAGCCTGGTTAAATTGAATCTGTAATAGAAAAACTACTCTAGATAGCACTAGAAGAAGACCACAGAGCATGCAGAGGGGGGTATTTACAAATACATAAACTTCAGTATTCCTCCTATTCTCTACCTACCTACTACTCCCTACTTGCCTAAATACCTCAATGCCCACCCTCGCTTCTTTCTCTCTCTTTTCACCCCGACCTAAATACATAGAGATAATACAGCATGATTTTCGTATACTCTCTATACTCTGCAAACAGAATGATAGTTAACGTTGAATGATGACGTTGATATTCGAGCGGGTATCTATCTATCTATCTATATGTGTATAACCAACCTAACTAAATGCCCGCAACCAGGGAATCTTAAATTCAAAACAACCCTTTTTAAGTCTCCTATTATCCATACTCTAAATCTATATTTCTACCCCTGGCGCGCCACGTAAGCATCGCTACTCAGTAGGAGATGGGTGAATTTTATCTACTCTCTAGCGGGTGAGAAAGACGAGGCGGATCGGATGCAAGGCGGGGTAGGTCGATCGAGACGGAAGTAAAGGATATATAGAAAAGAATAATCGTAATGGTGGATGTACCATCAAAGGAGAAGAATAAATGCACGTTTCTGGCAAAAAAAAAATACAGTCCCAAAGGGTAATATAATGTAGAATGTAAGGTAATGTATAAGCTGTCGTTCTTGTTCGTCATTCGGTATCGAAGACCAGTGCGGAGAGGGAGGTGATTTGCTAGAAAGCAAATATACCATTGCTCAAAAGAGAGAAAAAAAAAAATCAACGAACTGACGCCATGCAACGAGGTCAAAGGTCCAAATGAGTAATAAGCCTGAAATTCCAACCCCCCTGATGCTGATAGGTATCCTTCAAACTTGAAAGCCGAATGCAAGATGCATGTGAGAAATTAAGTCCGCGGTAAAGGGAAAAAAAAAAAGAATAGATGGGCGGACAAGCAGTAACATATGCGAAGTAAGACGTAAAATCATCCCGGTGCGCCTTTGCGTTCAATGACTCTTACCAACCCAAACCCCGACCCAATAATGAACAAGAAGAGAAAAAGAACATGGAATAATGCCAGGTACATCATGACAACAACAACACGTGTATCACCGCAATGAAGATAGTGTCGCTAAGTCAGGTCGAAGCCTGCAACGAAAGAGAAGGGGGGGGGGGGGGGAAGATACTGATCGAATATGAGGATTGAAAGATAAGGGTCTCTCTTAATCCTCTCTGCGAGTGTCCTTGTTTTCGGCCTTTAGACGATCTCGAAGTAGGAGTAAAGGCCGGCTGGGGTCGAGAAGGCCCATCATCATCTTCCCGAGTTCATTATGTTTGATAGGTTTGGTGACATAGTCGTTGAAACCGGCCCGTGCAGCGTCTTCGATCTGGTCGGACATCGCATTTGCAGAGAGAGCCATAATTGGTATTTGAGGGTAGTGGTTTTTAAGTTCCCATAGACGAATCTCACGGCAAGTTTCGTAGCCATTCTTGACAGGCATTTGAATATCGCACTAAATTGTGGTCAGTCGCAACACAGGAGATGATAGAAGAATCAACTCACGATAATCAAGGAGTAGTAACCCGGTTCCTTAGAAAACACCATTTCTGTGCATTCCTGGCCATTTGCTGCGGTTTCAGCCATCACCTTGATCTTATCGAGATATTTCAACATCACCTAAAATTGTTCTTAGCGAAAGCGAAAAATAAGCTTGTTTGGGATTACATACCATCCGATTGGTTTCATCATCCTCGACGAGCAAGACCCGGTATCCTTTGTTCCCAATGACCTCCTTCACCATCTTAGACATGGTCTTGAAATTATTATTGATCTCACGGGCCATATCTTGGTTTCTATCTTTGCTGAGGTCTCGCCGATTGTTCGGATCGAAAATGGGCGAGAAAGCAGAGGGCTTGACCGGCTTAGGGACAGTGTAGACGCGCTTTCCGCTAGAAGAGAGCTCCTTGATTTTTGAGCTTATCTGTCTCTTCTGGTAAAGGTCAGAAATAATGACAAGAACTGGTGCTTTGTCTGGCTCGCAATCGGCGATATAGTTGACCACCTCCAAGACATCGTCGACGACGGGTAAGTTGAGAACTAGGTGAGTAGTGTTGGAGGTTGAATCACCATGCATTGAATCTTTCCAATCTTCAACATCAGGGAGCGACGTGATGGAAAATAGAATCTCATGAGGGACCACCTGCTCGACATGCTGCGTGATCGCATTACGCGTATTGTCCATAGGGCAAAGGAGAAGGATTGAATAGGAGTCATACGGCTGTGATCCTGAACCCACTTCTGTCCCAGTGGCGGTGCTTGTAACGGGAGGGATAGACGCATCGAGCGGGTCGGATACCGGTTTGGAAGCGTCGATCTTAGCCAGAGGATCAACATTAAGAAGATTAGGGGTTGGTAAAGCGGATGATTCGGATGGCGGTTCAAAGAGATCACTCGAGGCAAAGCGAGCCGACAGGTCAGAGCTACTTGGAGGTGGCGAAAGGGGAGGAGATTCGAGAGCAACTGAAATATCAGCAACTTCTGAAGTCTTATGATCAGGAGAGTCCTTGGATGCGAAAAGAAGTTTTTGAAGCGACGTGGCTTTGGAGAGCAGCCCGTGGGCCTCCTGAACAGGTTGAGGTTCGTCGGGGGAAGGTGGTGGGGGGGCGTCAATTTTGACATAAAATGAGAATTTGGCGCCCTGGCCTTCTTTGCTACTAGGTGTTAACTTGCCCCCATGCATCTCGACAAGCTGCTTGGAGAGGAACAGTCCAAGCCCACTTCCTGCATTTTGCTGGGAAGCATTCTGTCCGAGTTGACTGAACCGCTGCATTAAACGGTTGGCATCCCTCGTGCTAAAGCCCTTTCCTGTATCAACAACGTCAAAGTTCAACAACAACTCAGTCGGTTTAGGAAGAGGCGACGCAACGTGGTGGATAGAACAGTGTATGTGGATCTCTCCCTGAGCAGTGAACTTGACTGCATTACCAATAAGGTTGATCAGGACTTGTCGTATACGGAACCTGTCACCGATCACCATCTGTGGAACATCCACATCCATTAGATAGTTCATTTCGAGACCCTTATCAATGGCTCTGGAGGATACAGTATCAATGACATCTTCAATCACTGATCGCACGTGGAACCAGGAGTTGACTAATGACATTTTCCCGGCTTCAACCCTCGACACATCGAGGATGTTATCCACCAGTTCACGGAGATTGGTGGAGCTGTTTTGAATGGTATCAAGCATTCGCCGTTGATCGGTATCTAACTGCGTATCGAGAATGAACGGGATGGTGCCCAGGATTCCATTGAGGGGAGTCCGAATTTCATGCGACATGTTGCTGAAGAATTTGGTCTTCGATTCCATTTGGCTGTTGAGCTGTTGCATCGCTTTATTAAGCTCTCGTTCCAGGTTCTTACGATCGTTGATGTCAGTGCATGTGCCGTACCACGACGCCTCCCCGCTCCCGAAACTGCTAATCTCCACTCGGGCCAAGCGAACCAGATGCCATCGGAAATCGCCACCCTTGGAGCGAAGTCGAATCTCGGTCGAGTAGAAAACACGTCCGTTTTCATCTTGCTGCACAGAAGCAACGCCCCGCCTAACAAGTTCGTCCAGAGCGGGCGTAACACCATAGTTGAAATGTTTCTCCTGAGGGGATGCCTTAGGCTTTGGCTCGGGTGTGATCTCCGAGAACGGTGCAGTTGCGGCTCCTTTTTGAGACTCCGCAAGATAAAGTGATAGTAAGCCACATTTTTCCAGGTCATCATGATGGACGTGTTTCGCAAACCCAAAATTGAGAGACTCCTCCAGATTCTGGCCGGTGTAAAGATGCCACTGTTCATTCACGAAAATGAGACCCCTGTACTCAGTTGCTTCGAATACTACTTGGGGGACGGAGTTGGAAAAGGCCCGGTACTTGGCATCAGTTGCGAACTTTTCCCTTTCCTGAGCAGCCTTCAGTTCAGCAATATGTTGCTCGTGGATATCAAGGAAGGAGCCGATCCAATACAGCACCTCTCCAGTAGAAGAGAGCAAGGGGTTGGCGCGAAAGATGAACCAACGATATGCCGACTCATCATTAAACCGTCTAACGCGCACCCGGTCAGTGAATTGCGAGCCTGTACGTAGCGCATTCGCCCATTCTTCCGCCACATGGTCACGTTCGCTACTGTGGATGTTTTGCCAAGGGTCCCGGAGCCTCTGCTCCTGAGGTTGACTTCTCCGATAAGCGTCAAACTTGGAGTTTGTCCATACAACTTCTCCGCTTTGCGGCTTCGCAAGAAAGAGGTGTAGAGGGACCGAGTTCAACATAAGTTGGGCCACAGTATCGGTAAACGGGCGAGGAAGCTCGCGCTGGAGTTGCGCGTAGAAGGAATTAGTCGATGGATGGCGCGAGGAAGCGTGCGTTGGCGATATTACGGGTTGGGGCCTCGATTCGGTAGCGGGAGAGGCAACCGTTGCGCCTAGATCTGGTGTGGCAGTCTCTTCCTCTAGAGGCCTCGTCCATCCTTTCCCGGGCGATGAAGGCGAAGGGGACGCAATAGTTTGCTTAACCTTGGATAATCGGTTCCTATGCTGTGTGAGAGCTTCACGGAAGCCTTTTGGCTGTGGGACATTGAAATAACTGTCCACAGACTCATTACCGGGTCTCGCAGACGACCCAGGGGATTCCAAGTAAGTGGCACCTCCTGCGCCAGCAGATGTCAGGTCAAGAGCCGGTGTTCCAAAGGCAGACACGGTGGGACTAAATCTAATCGGATTTGTCTTCTCATCGGGGCTAGATAGACTAGCTCTGGTCGACAAAGACCCATCTTCTGCGATTGTGTAACTGACGTGGCCACTGAGACCGGCCACAAGTTCCAATTCACTACTCTCGTCAGAAAACGTTCCTCCCAGCCCCAAGAGGTTTCCAAAACGCGGGGCCTCGAGCCGAGAGGCAAATTGTCGTTCGAGTTGACTATATTGTTGCGCCAAACGAAATGAGGTCGTAAGATGAGGCATGAGGTAGGCTAGAGATTGCCTCAAATTTGAGGGATATGGGATGATTGGGGATAATATGGAGATGATTGCGACAGGGAATCGTAATGGGGAAGAGGCAGACTGTGGAGAGGGCCCGGAGTGTAGGAGAGGAATATGGACTACAGACTTTGCCAAGTCCACGCCAATAGCCTCCAAGGGGTGTAGGTTGGAGTAATCGTGTACCGGGGGGTGTTTTGAGAAGGCGCTCTCGTCAACTGCGTGGCTGGTAAAGAAGGGATTTTGATCGGCATGGGCGCGAGGTGCTGGAGAAGGAGCTGGGGACTGTGACCACGGCGAAGGAGGCACTTGTTCATACTCATCGAAAAATTCCATGGAAGGAATCCTTTCCGCAAGGATGTTCGGAACGGCAGGATTGGAGATAGACCTGGATCGGGCATTGAGCACTGCTCTTTGGGCTGGTTTGTGACAAGGCTCAGTGATTGGAGTCACCTGAACTTTGTCTTCGGGTGTCTGAACGGGCTCCGGGTGGGATTGTTTGGATGCCAATGACTGTGAATATTCCCGGGTAAGAATCACGGGTTTCGTTCGCCCAAAAAGCTTCACAACCCCGGTTCTCTTGATTAGTGGATCTGCCTCAACTTCCAAGGCCCTAGGTGTGGGAAAGACGGCTTGTCGATGGCCAAACTGGGACGAAATCAAAGGGTCCCAAGAGGGGTCTGTTTCTGCAATCATGGGCGGTTCGATCGGGGTCTGTACTCGTGGGTTCTCCGGATTTGCTGGAATCTTTGAGCCCTGCACTACGTCTGCATCATTCCAAGTAGACTTCTTGCGCTCCTTGCCAAACCCAGCGAATGAATGTCGTGCTAATAGGGGTGGCCGCACACAAGGGGCTGATGCCGCAACTCCATTCACCAAATTCGCTGGGGAAGACTTTGGTTTCGGCTTTTCCGTCTGAGAGTGTACCTTGTTGCCAGTTGTAGCCAACTCGATTGGTGAAGGACGCGACGGTGGATTCGCCAGGATACTATCGTTGAAAACCGCCTTTTGCCCCCATGGAACGTTCTCAAGATCTGTCGAGTCACCAGGCACAGCCAGGGAGGCCCTCTCAGCTCCGTAATGCTTCCGAAGAATACGAACCACATTATCCCACCAGGAATCGAGACCGGGGTCTGCATTTAATCGCAGGGTGAGTTCGTAGAGGTTGGGGCTTGGGTAGGCAGGATCTTCGGCTACTGGCTTGCAGTCTGGGGGTAGAAACGCAGGATTGGAGGCAATGGGGAGGGTGGAAGCGGTTAATCCCCCCGCAACCTTGGACGGTGCTACGTGACCTTTCAGCTTTTCCGTGGGGAGGGTCAGCTTGAAGGAGCCATTGTCGATCGGAGGGAAGAATTTTGGTTTCATGGATGACTGCGCGGGCATTTCAGGGAACGGGTATGACGGGGTTCGTTCGGCAATATTGTCAGGGGTTGTCTGCGAGTTCAAACACCTAATGGTAGCACTAGAGCCAGCAGAATCAGGCGCTCCGGTGGACGTGAGCGCGACTTGGGGGGATAATACATTGGAAATGCGTCGTTTCCGCGTGCACTCATGGGGGCTGAAAGGTATGGAATCTTGCGACGGAAGGGACTCTTGAGTAACGGAGGAGGATTGCTTCTGGGAATGTTGCATCTGTTGGTAGAAAAGCAGCTCTTCCATCTGCCTGCGCAGGTCTTTGAGGGTTGGCAAATTTGGCGCGTGGTCCTCCTCCGGTCCTAGCCAAGGACCCAAAGTCTCTTTCTGGGTGGGTGGCGGGAACTGGTACACGCTTGAGGTCTGTCCAAGGGGAGATTGAGAACAACCTGGGTTAGCCTTCCGGACGTTATCAGTTAGGTCCACATTTCCTTCGACGGCATAGACATTATCTTCGCTCTGAACAAAACTAGAAGTGGATTGGGAAGAGTCCCGGTGATGGGAGAGGGGAGCGGCAACGGGCGAAGGGGCCTCGGCCGGCGATGGACGCGGAGGTGTCCTCATAGTGTCAACCTCCCCCATCGTAGACTCCCTCCACCGCCGGTCAATTATTCAACGCTCCTGGGCGAATCCAACTCCACAGGAGGCAAATGGGGCACTCATCTCTCGGACAAAGAGGTCCGCGATCACGAATGGACGAGAAAGGAAAGATATGGGGTTGGAACAAGATCAAATCGAGAGGTAGAAGGCGGTCGCGAGGGATTAGGAACGAGGCGAGATTAAAAATAGCGTCTTTTCGAGTGAGAAAAAAGCAGAGGCAAGTAGACTTATATATATGCGTGCATATACATATACATATACATATATATATATATATAAGGAACGAAGCGAGAAGAGGAATCCAACTGTACAGAAAAGATAAAGAAAAAAGAGGGGAAAGACTCAAAAGGGGTGGGTAGTGAAAAAAAATGGCAGTCAAAAAAAAAGGTCGCAATAAGGTACCTGTCTACAGGTTAGAGAAGAGAAACCACAAAAGGTAAAAATGGATAAAACAGAGCAATGAGAAAAGAGTATCTCGATTTGATGAAGAAGAAGAAAAGAAGGAGAGAAAGAGGGAGAGAAAGAGAAGAATCAGAGAGAAAAAAGGTGGGAAGAGAGAGGGAGGGAGGGAAGTGGTCTAGGTGTAAGAGATGGATGGGTACAACAAGAAGAGACGGCGCCGATAGGTAAGGCGAGAGAGAGAGAGAGAGAGAGAGAGGGATGTGTTTAGGGTAGAGCCGATAGATTCGAGGAGTGGAGGCAAAGGAAGGGAAGGTGAAAAATAGAGGACTGACCTTTTCTTTTCCGTCTATTTGGTTGCTTTCTTGCTTTCCTGCTTTCTTGCCTTCTTGTCGAGAGTACGGAGCACGGAGTAAGGAGAGTAAAGAATGAGAGAGCGCAAGATTGGTCCTGATTGACGAAAAATAGAAGGGAAAAGGAATGAACGGTTACTGGTTTAATTTGGGGGGGAAGAAGAGGAGGAGCCTGTCTTCTGGGGCAGCCACTATGACGTAGCTGTCACTCTTGCAACTTAGCGAAGAGGATACCCAACATAATCCTTATTAAGAGCTGCGTTTGAGAGGTAAACGGGGATTCTTTGGAGAATAATATGATATGGTATGGTAAACCCCAAAATTAAAGTAAACCAAAAATAGAGAAGAGGAAGAAGAAGAAGAAGAAGAAGAAGAAAACGGGTAGGGAGGGAGAAGTTGGGCAAAACAAGGTGACGAGGATGACCAAATGGGAATCGGAAAGAGGATAGTCCGCGAGGTACAGTCCAGAAAGATTTCTACTAGTCGTAGTAGTGAAATACTCAATCTCTACTAGTAGTTGCTAAAGAAAATCATATCTCTATGTTAATACAGGGTAATACAGTACATGAAAAAACAGCAATAAGGAGGGGACTGATGATGATGATGATGGTGGTGATGGTGATGATGATGATGATGTAATGCATCAATTTCATCATGCATGTCAACAAATTCCAGTACCTAGTTACTTACTAGGTATAGTATAAGCATCTCAGAATAAGAATCAAACAGTACACTGTAGAGATTAACTTGCAAGAAATATCCCAATCAATTAGGTATTGTATTTATGATCCTTCGTGTCAGGTTCGATCCAACTTCTCGAATCTTGAGGGTTGGAGTACTGACTAGTTATAGTTAGTTAGTTAGTGTTCCTGGGTCAAAACACACACTACTGGAAATAAACTACACAGACCCTGTTCGAAGATGCTTCCACGCACCCCAAGGCTAATATTATTAATTTATTAATGAAGCCTCACGCACTAACTAGAATGAAAGTGGATTTGATTCTCCAATAATTCATATCTGGGAAAATATAAAAAAAAAAAAAATTCTTTTTCTCCGACAGAATACTCCGTACAAGGAGGAATTCATTAAGGTCCTTTTTACGGAGTGCTTTCTTTGGTACTCCGTACTCGAAAATTTTGAAAAATAAAAAGAAGAAATACCAACCACTCAAATCAAAAACTCTCATGCACTCTCCCTTCTCCTGGACAGAGTCTCTATTGGTAAAGCAAGTAGGTGCCCCATCGAAAGGAATGGTGACGATATAGGCTTGCCTAGTGTATAGAGTAGGTACCGAATCAGAATGAATCCGCAGTCCTGGCTCCACTACTTACATAGTAAGTTACCGTACCAGACTGGAGTACTCAGTACTGTGCTGTATGTCGGACAAGGATAAATAGGTAAACCACACCTAGACTAAACTACTACGTACCAAGAATGAGGATCGATCGCATGGTCAGCCGGCATTCGCCACGCTAGTTTTCTTTTCTTCCTTCCATGCCCCTATTCTTGTTAACCTCCATCCAATTAACACAGCCCTGGATACGGAGTCTTCTCGACATCCAACTTAGTTAGTCCGGACCCGGAGTCGTACCCTGTATGAATCGGAGTAAGTACTAGGAGTAGGGGGAGGTCTGGCTTGCTACATTGGATGGGTGCGGTTCTCGTCGACTTACCGTTCGTGCTATGGAACCTTAAAAGACTGAGAAGCTCCTCGTGGAAAGCATAAACAAACTCTGAAATAAAAACAGTTGCGTGTTCCGATTGCTTCCGGGGAACAACTTGTCTATATTTAGTTAGGGTCGAGGACGTTATTTGTTATCCGTTCCGGAGTACCTTAGCTAGTCTGCGCCATCCCATGAATGACGTTGCAAGTTGCCGAGAAGATCGGTAGATATAAATAGTTATACAGAGTCGGTCTCAGTCAATGTTTCATAGTCTGTTTATCATATAATATATATATAATATATATATACATAGACAGGGATCTACATGGATCGGTAAGGAATGGTCAATAGACATTATTCGATCCATCCCATTACATTATAAACGGTTTCCGATATTCACATGCACCGACTTCACCTGCGTATAAGCCTCCAAGCCTGCCTCGCCGAGTTCCCGTCCAATTCCGCTCTGCTTCACCCCTCCAAACGGAACCCGAGGATCACAGTCCTGGCTACTGTTGATCCAAACCATCCCCGCCTCGATCTCTGCCGCCACACGATGTGCCCGCTCCAGGTCCTTGGTAAACACTGCAGCCCCCAGTCCATATGACGTATCATTTGCACGAGCCACCGCCTCCTCTTCCGTCTCAAACGGAAGAATAACCACAACAGGCCCGAAAATCTCCTCACGGTAGATCCGCATATCATCCGTGACGTTTGTAAATACCGTAGGTTGGATGAAGTAGCCCTTGCCGTCTTTACTGGTTGCCGCGCCGCCCGCAACGACGGTTGCGCCTTCAGACTTGCCGAGCTCGATGTACGAAAGCACGCGCTCATATTGGGCGCGCGTCACCTGGGGACCCTGGAAAGTGGACGCATCCCACTGGTCCCCGATAACGGAAATGGTCTTGACAGCGTCCAGGAACTTTTCTAAGAAGGGCTCGAAGATGTCCTTCTGCACGAAGATGCGCGAGGTCGCCGTACAGATCTGTCCTTGGTTGGACATGATGCCGAGATGGGACCATTTGACCGCCTGTTCAATGTCGCTATCGCTAAAAACAAGCAGTGGCGACTTGCCGCCTGTCTCCAAAGTGACATTTTTCAACGTCCCCGCAGCCATTTTCATGACCTCTCTCGCTGTTGCGGTTGACCCCGTGAAGGCGATCTTACTGACGAGGGGGTGCTGTGCTAAAGCCGCGCCGGCTTCTTTCCCATATCCGCTAATAATATTAACCACACCAGGCGGGAATCCTGCTTCTTTAATCAACTGCCCCAAAGCTAGGATACTTAGTGGTGTTTGCTCCGCTGATTTGATCACAACCGTGTTTCCACACGCCAGAGCAGGACCTAGTTTCCAGGCTGCCATAGAAACAGGATAGTTCCATGGGATGATCTGTCCGACGACGCCGATAGGCTGACGTAACGTGTATGCGAATTTCTGGTGTGTTGTACTGATCGTCTGGCCAAAGGTCTTGTCAGCCCAGCCGCTGTAGTAGCGGAGGGTGGTGATGGCTTCGACCAAATCATCACTCAAGGCAGCGTGATACGGTTTTCCTACTCAAGTAATTAGCTCACGTAACAGTAAACGCAAAGGAGATCATAAACTAGCCATTGTCCCAGGCATCTATTGTGGCAAAAAGCTCCTTTTGCTCTTCAAGAAGGTCCGCGAGTTTACTCATTAACCGTCCCCTGTCTGTGCCTGGAAGCAGCTTCCAGGTAGGATTTTGCAGTGCCGCTTTCGCCGCCTGCACAGCCTTGTCGACATCCTCTGCTGAGGCAGCGTAGACTGTGGCGATTTCGCATTCCGTTCTACTCTTCGGTTAATTCGGCGAAGAATATGAGTTCAATTGGATTTAACGTACGCAGGATCGACAGAAGAGATCAGTTGTCCGCTAGACGACTTGACGAATTCATTGTTGATGAAGAGGCCGCGTGGTTGCCGATAGCGGCGGCCATTTGGAGCGATGAGGTCGACAAATAGATCTTGATCTGACATTTTGTATCTAAGATATACTAGGTGTGAAGAGGGGAAAGGATTTAAAAAAAAAAGAGTTGGAAAAAATGGATCCTTATATCGAGGAGAAATGCTCTATCATTTATTCCCTTCCAAACCCTCCACAGCGATTTCATCGAGGCCCGGCAGAACCTCATGTACGTAGCCTAATCCGGAAGGTCGTGCCGAACCCCGGGTCACACAGCATCTTCTCTTTACACTCGGAATTTCATTCTCTGTAGCCTTTCTCTTCCTTCCTTTCACCTCAACCGCGGTAATATTGGCATGGTAGGGCTTCCCGGCACGAAGGAAGGCAATTCCTGCTCGAGATCGTGGCGCAACCCGTGGGTTTTTGGTTTGCATTATCCGGACAGACACCACCAAGGACATGCAGCACCGAGAATAGACAGCAAGGATACAAGACAGACTGGATGAAGGTAATACAGAGCAGATGGGTAACGTAAAAAGAGGAAAGGGAAAATCGAAATGAAACGCCAGAATACCGAAGAGGGAGATACGGATGAGCTGAGAGGTAGAAATTCATGCATGTTACCTATTTATGTATGCTTGTGGAGTTCGCTAAAATCTACACGAAGATTGAACTGCGGTGACGAAATTTAGGAAATCTTGGACTTTCAAGCCTTATGGTTGAGTGTTTGATGCTTCATATAATTTATATATAAAGAAGTACTAATGTACATTAAAGTAAAGACATGCCTGCGGCAGATAGATGTCACTGTACTGGCGCTTCTAGCTCCCGAGGCTCCGACCAATTGAAGCCTAGTTATATACATACCAGGTACTTATGTATAGTCTACCAGGTACTAGTAGTAGTGTGGAATGCTTCGAGTACTGCCGACTTCCCAGGCTAGTGGATGCGTCGATGTGATAGACTTGAGAGTTACGCTAGTATGTTAGAACCCATTCTTCCTTGTCTCACAATTTTGCCAGTGGTTTTGGTTTGCTTGGACGGGGTCGGAACCCGCTAGATGGTGTAGAGTACCTAGGTAGAGGCCGGGATGGATGCAGCAGATGATTCGGGTAATCTTGTGGCTGAAGAAGCTGACAAGCGGTTGGTGGTTGGTTTTGTGAGCAATGACAAAAGTATTTGAAGACTTGTAGTTATCTTCCAGGAGTGAAAACAATATGACTCCGGGTGTTTGTTTCATGTCACTATTCAGAAGAAAATCATAGAGTGGAGCTGAAACAGTCTCTCTTCCAAGAATGACCTTGAGCCCATCTAGCAAATACTTCCTTTCTTCATCATGATTTTTGATAGTTAGTTGGCAAATTGTATTTACGAAGATCATTCCCACCCAGGATTGATACCGTACGGAGTATACGCTCTCTCCAGCCGCGGTGTCAACAGTGGAAAACCCGAAGACCGTAATTGGGTTCTTTACGGGTTTCTCGCCGTAGTACTGGCTGATATAGGGGGTTGGGCTGCCATTGATAGGGAAGCTTTGCTGTTATGCACTTTTGTCGTACTCCATTGATGGTAACTTCCATGCACATCGTCGGTGATATTGGGATTGCTAGGGAATACCGCCGCGTTGAAACCACTGATTATCCCTCCAGTCCCGGACTAGTTTCTCTGCCAGATATCCACCAGTCGAGGGTTAGCAGCAGGCATCTGATGTCTTGCCTGCGGTCGAACGAGACACGACCAGGATTACAACAGGTACAAACCAAATGGTCTTGGTAAATAGCTCAACTGTCTCAGAAGATACAGTGCAGAGGTGTATGTGCCATTATGATTGACGAGGTATACAACGAGATCTCATAAAGATCTTGCCTGTCGACCATGCTGGAAAATGATAATGATAATGATTACATGATTCGGGATCATCCTTGGGTGATTTTTAATAATATACCTAATGTATAGTTACTCCGTACCTAATTTTCCCCTTGGCACCCAATGGGAGCTGACTAATACCAAGCCCAAACAGGAAAGGACGACGGACGGACTCCAGCCTTCCCAAGTTCTCACTTTCCACCCAAAACTTCCGGATCGCCTCTCCGGTGTCTCTTTCTGATTACTACCTAGGGTATTTGTATTTTGCGATCTCATCCCCGAGTAGAAATGCTGATGGTGGCATCTTGACACGGTGGGTTGTTCTTTCCCACACCCCCCCCCTTTTCCCCCCCTGCACATCCTAATAATTCCTTTCCCGTCTTCGAGCTAATCGTGCGTTTCTCCTGCAGGCTAAATAAAACGTGTTGCTCCTGTTCGCATTCCCAGTCGCCCGTGCCTGCCCCCCTCCATCCTGCTTGGCGTCTGGCCGTTTTCGTCCTGATGACCACCACCGTATCGATTTGAGCTTCTATTTTCACATGATATTTCTGAATATTTCCATCCACCCTCTTTCTACCTATGGACGCATGTCGAGGGAGGTGAACCAGCAAGGATAATTTGAGCCTTTCCGCGGTCCGACATGGATGATAGCCATATCCTTGGTGAGGACCTGCCCCTCCCTCCCGCACGGCTATTCGAGAGGCTCGCGCACCTGCCTGGATACACTTGGGATCAATCAATCGAACCCTTTCATTCAACATATAACCACTGGCATGTCTTTGGTCTTCGACATGCTGCCGACTCCGATATTTCCACCCCTGCGGCCACTTCCTCTGGACCATCGAGCCTGGCCCGCAACTCTCCTCGAACCGAGTCCCGTCCCGCCATTCGTCATCACTGGAGGAGCAGCCTAAGTGAATCGAGTAGCGAGCTATCGTTGTCCCGAATCGACCATGACCCGATCTGGGTTCCCGTTGTCGCCCGCGTGTCGTCCCACATTGTCAGATTGGAGCGCGAGTTTCATATGCTGAGGTCGGTTGTGCAAACTTCAGATCCGGAATGTAACCATACCATAAGGCCAATAGATCTTATCCGACTTCCCTCCGACCCCGGTGATACTGGTCCACTTTTGGTGGCCATCTTCGAATCCCCTGGCCAGAATATGTTACGAGAGTTGATCGCGTTTGGACCAGCGTGGTTTGCTGTTGGCGATAAGGGTGAGAGCATTGAGTCCACCCCCGGAGAGCAGGTTTCCCTTCCATTGTTTCTCGACTTTGCGATTGGCGCTTGCGACTGTTTGGAGCTTCTTCACTACGGATTGAAAACGGTCCATGGTGAAATCCGCCCGGATGCGTTTCACTTCAATCGGGAGTCTGGATCTGTAAAACTTACCAATACGGGAAATGGGGCAAGATCTTTTGATAATGTTCTTAGTGAAGGGTGGGTATCGATTTCCCGAGAATTGGGGGTCAAGAACAAGCTCCAGTTCATTGCTCCGGAACAGACCGGGAGAATGCCGACTGAACCAGATAGCCGAACTGATATTTACGCTCTGGGCGTCTTGTTTTGGACAATGTTAGTAGGGAAGCCCGCCTTTACTGGCTCTGATCCGGTGGAAGTCGTGCAGAATGTCTTGGGAAAGAAACTACCTCCTGTTTCAGCCAAGAGGATGGATATCCCTGATGCCGTGTCGGCCGTGATCCAAAAAATGACACACAAGGCAGTCAGTGAACGATACCACACCATCTCGTCGGTAAAGAGGGATCTTGCGCAGGTCTCTCAATTGCTTGGTGATGGCGACAGCGAAGCCCTGAAAGACTTCCAGATTGCCCAACGTGATGTCTCGTCCTTTTTCACTCTTCCGTCGAAAATGTTTGGACGGCAAGCAGAGTATGATAAAGTGATCAGTGTTGTGGAAAAGGTTTACAGGCGCCAGCAGTCCGCCTACTCGAAAGCTACCTCGCAACTCTCGACTAGAATTGGTTCCACGTCCTCGGTATCCGATGGACGTGTCGATAGCTTCGAAATTGCATCGGGTTCAAGCGACTCTAGCTCATTCCACCTAAACCCTAGAGCTAATACTACCAACAGTGCCTACAATCTCGGGCGAGTTTCCACCCACGAATCCCTCCACAGCACTGAGTCATCTCTCTCCACTCCGAAGCCTACTTCAAACAAAGCAAAGAGCCCCGTAGATTCGCGATCGTCATGGGATAATGCCGACCGAGACAGCCACCCTTCTATGGCAACCAGTGTGCAAAGCCACCCGGATTCTCTTGCGACAGCCACAAGGAAGGCTGCCCATAAACTTCGCCGAGCAGGAAGATGCGAAGTCATCACCATCAGTGGCGCTGCTGGGATCGGAAAGACTGACCTATTGAACCGAGTTCAGCCAGCAATCCGTAAATTGGGGTATATCAGCGTTGCGCGGCTGGACCGGGCAAGGAGAATTCCATTCGAGCCATTCGCTAAAATTCTTGCTGGGCTGCTCCGCCAAATCTTCTCGGAGCGTGATGTGACAACAGATTACCATAATACAATCCGCTGTGCGCTGCGGCCTATGTGGTCGACACTTCATAGGGTTCTGGAGCTGCCAGAACACCTCATGTCACTTGGAACGAACGCGAAACAAATCTCGCCCAAATGCTCCGCCGCTCAACACATTTTGAAAGACATCACCAAGGGGGAGCCATCCAAGCGCACTCCGTTTCCCCGTCTTGACCAAGGGCAGAGTTCCGTTGATTTTTTCCTGACCAATGCAGCTTCGAAGAACATGCGCCTGATGGAAACATTCCTGGAGATTTTGAAGACACTTTCCCAATTCAGATTGATCTGTATCTGCGTTGACGATCTGCATTATGCCGACGACGAGACGCTCGAATTGATTATGAACATCGTCAGGGCAAAAATCCCATGCGCTCTCATCCTCACAAGCCGAAAATCGGAACTGGAGTCTGATGCAATCAAGTGTCTTTTTGAAAATGACGATCCTGCCGTAACCAGAATCGTGCTCAAGCCATTAGGGGAGGACGAAGTTATGGGGATTGTTGCAGCTGCAATGCACCAGCCTCCCAACCCGATGCTCACTGGTCTCGCAGCTGTTATACAGGAAAAGAGCGTGGGGAATCCCTTCTACGTGCGTATGATGCTCGATACCTGCTATAGTAAAAATTGTATCTGGTATTCGTGGAAAAACTCGGTGTGGGAGTTTGATCTTGACCGGATATTTACCGAGTTTGTGGCCCCCAGGTACGGTGAGGGACTGGGGCTTGGTTTTATTACACGGCGTCTACAGGAAACCCCCGCTGCGGCGCGATCGATTCTCGTATGGGGTGCCTTGCTAGGAAGCCAGTTCTCGTTTTCTTTGGTGCAGAAGCTTCTTACTAGCGAGTTTTTGTATTCAAGTGAAGACGATGAAGCGGTTGACCTTACATGTCCGCAGAATGTGAGCCTTATCAGGCAAACGGAGGCAGATGTCGTTGTCGGACTTCAGATTCTTGTACAATCAAACCTTATCATCCCGGGCAACTCTGACGATGAGTTCAAGTAGGCCCCCCTCCCCCAAACTGGTGGGTTTTCTTTACTCTAACTACGATTCATTATAGGTTTGGTAATGATCGGCTTGCCCAAGCCGCTGCGTCCTTAACCGAAGGACGCAACGTCGAAAAAATGCATTTTATAATATCACAGGCTATGAAGAAGTACTATCATGATGGACGTAGTCGCTATGCTATGGCACGGCATGTGGCTCTTGCGTCTAGAATTATTAAATCTCGTGTTGTTGAGAGACTTGATTACAGAAAGATTCTATGGGACGCAGCACAGACAGCTGCTCAGTCTGGGGCTCGTCCAACCGCACTTTGGTACTTTCGCCATTGCATCGATTTCCTTCAGGATAACCCTTGGGACGATAATGTCATTGATGTTTACTACGATGAGACCCTCCGCCTTCATATTGCTGCGGCGGAAATGATGTGGTCCCTGGGGAATAATTCGGAAGCTCTTGAGCTACTCCAGAAGGTTTTTCAGCACGGGAAAACTGCCGTATGCAAATCCAGGGCTTGGACTTTAAAAGCCAAAATATATGCCCAAATGGGCGATCACCCCCGTTCAATGAACTCGCTGCTTACCTGCTTGGAGGAGCTGGGCGTACATCTTCGGGATGGTACAACCTACGAAAAGTGCGATGCTGCTTACCAGAGTCTGAAGACCCACCTTGAGCAAGCGGATTTGGATGCCATGGCCTGTCGACCCATCAGCAAGGACATAACCATGATAACGATTGGCGCAGTAATGGCAGAAGCAATGGCTGTTACGTTTTGGGACGACAGCTTAACCTTTTATCGGATGGCTATTGACATGATGAATCTTCATCTATTCCAGGGCGGTTTCGTTCAAATTACGATTGGATGCTCCCACCTCGCTATGATCGCCTTCAGTCGCTTCAGAGATTTGGAGCTTGCTGAGAGGCTCAGCGAAACTGCTCTGACGCTCCTTGATCGATGCCCTGAGCCATGGACCCTAAGTCGTGGGTCCATTGTCCACAACTTCTACATTGGTCATTTGCGAGCTCCGTTGTCGATGACTCTACCGGCGCTTGAAACTTCCGTTGAAACTTCAATTGCAATGGGGGACCCGTATATTACCATGATCGCCGTTTCTGCAATGGCTATGACTAGGCTCTTCTTGGGCCATGACATGGCACAGTTGGAGGTTTTTTGCAACGAAAGCCCGGAGGATATTCCTGATTGGGCAAATGATACTCGCGGAGGTGCCAGTCTTGTCGCGGTTCGGTGAGTTTTCTACACCCCTATCCATATCACCACCTTAAGAGTCGGCGAAACCGCCATCAAAGCTGAACGCCATGTTGCATATGGGCCTTTAGCGGGAATTGACACCAATATTCATCTAACACTTACTGTCTACAGACAAGTTGCGCGCGCCTTGCAAGGGAAAACCTACTACCGCGAGGACGATCTCGTTATGAGCGATGAACACCACCGAACTGCCGAGTACATCCATTTCTTGGAAAATAATGCGAGTAATCCTGATCGCCCACGCGACATATATCTGGCCCTTTCTCTGATCCCACTATTTCTTTATGGGCATCATACAAAAGCTATCGAATTGGGTACACTTATTATGGAGACTATCCCGAGACTTTGGTCTGCCCGGGTGTCATACGTTGTCTATTTCTACCTAGCTCTTTCACACTTGACCGTCCACAACGACTACCCCGCAAGGAACTATCTTGGTGGGAAACTGGATACTATCTTAAAATACAAGAGAGAAATTGACTTTGCACGGAGCGCTTGCGATGCAAACTATGGAATGTGGGCACTGATGTTGGAGGCGTTAGTATTTGAGGTTCAAGGCTGTCACACATCTGCGCTCCAAGCATTCGAGGTAAGTCAAATAATTTATAGAGTATTAAGTAGTCAGATTAACCGTATCTGTGCCTTAGTCCGCAATCGACCATTGCCAAGTCCATGGATGGCCGATGGAAGAAGCCCTTGCTCTTGAGCTTTATGGTATGTGCTATGAACATTCCATGCCTCACTTTCGCTACCCCCCCCACCTGTTCTTGCTTCATCTTGTGGCTGATGTTGATCCAAGGGGAATTTTTGATCCGTCGCGGGGCAAAGAGGGCAGCGCGTTCTGTGATGCAGGACGCGATCGCTGCGTGGGCCGCAATAAGCGCTGTCGGGAAGTCATCTCAACTGACTGAGAAACACGAATGGCTACTGAAAACGGCAACATCTTGCAGAAGCGTTGATGTTGGCTGTCAAACAGTTGACTCGCTCCTTGGTATTAACCAAAACGTTGGACAGGAGCATATTGGAGCAGCCCAAAATATTGAGGAAGACAGGAAACACCGATGGATTGAGCAGAACGGCGTCACGGCCGGGGAACGTTCCCTTGATATTTCCGGTGTTGGGCTTGGTAAAAACTTCTATATTAATCTATTGCTGTGAACAATTTTACTGACTCCATTCAGATATCATTGACCTTTCAAGCATACTCGAGTCTAGTCAAGTAATGTCCTCTGAGCTTGAGATTGACAGGCTTCTGACTAAAATGATTGAAATCATCCTTGAGTCCTGTAATGGATCCGATTTCGCGGTGATTGCAACCAACTTCGACAACCACTTTACTGTTGCGGCTGTTGGAGATCTTGAAAAGGGACAAAGGTCCTTCGTCGACGGCCTTGCATTCCCAGAAATGGAGGATAAGATGGCCCAGCAGATAACACACTATGTGATGCGCAGTCGCGAAGAGGTGCTTGTTCATAATGTCCTCGAGGATGAGCGTTTTTCGAATGTCAGCGAGGCATATCAAGCCCGAAATCCGCTGAGCCGATCTGTGATTGCGTTGCCCATCATGCAAGCGGAGAATCTTCGGGGAGTAATTCAGGTGGAAGGAAAGCCGAACTCCTTCACTCAACGTAATCTCGTTGTGCTTCATTTGCTATGCAATCAAATTGGCATTTCTCTTTCCAACGCGTTGCTCTTCCGGGAGGTTAACAAAGTTGGCGCCACGAATGCGTCTATGGTTGAATCGCAAAAGCGCGCCCTTGCACAGGCTCGTGAGGCAGAGCAAAAGGCCAAGGTAGCGGAAGCAGAAGCCAAACACAATGTGAAACTGAAAGAAGATGCGGCAAAGGCGAAGTCAATTTTCCTTGCCAATATCTCTCATGATCTCCGTACACCGATGAACGGTGTTATCGGCCTCTCGGAGTTGCTTAAGGGCACAAAGCTTAATAAAGAGCAGGATGAATACGTTGAATCTATTCGTGTCTGCGCCGACACACTGCTTACCTTGATTAATGATATCTTGGACTTCTCCAAGCTTGAGGCAGGGAAGATGAAGATCTCGACTGTTCCCTTAAATATCAAGGAAACAATCTCGGAAGTTGTGCGCGCGCTCCGCTATACACACCGAGACCGTGGGCTGGAAACAATTGAAGACCTAGATCGTGTTCCACCAGACCTTGTTGTGCTGGGTGACCCAGTCCGTCTCCATCAGATCTTCATGAACCTTCTCAGCAATAGCTACAAATTCACGCCTCAGGGATCCGTGACCGTGTCCGCTAAGGTGTCTCGGGAAGGCAAAGGCCGTGTCCGTCTTGAATGTTCAGTATCTGATACAGGTATCGGAATCCCTGAGGAGCAAAAGCCACGGCTCTTCAGACCTTTCTCGCAGGCAGATAGCTCGACAGCGAGGTCATACGGCGGGAGTGGACTTGGACTGAGTATTTGCAAGGCTATCATTGAAGACGTGTTAGGCGGTGCAATCTGGCTCGACTCAACTCCAGGTGCAGGCACCACAGTCACATTCCATTTGTCCTTTAACAAGGTCAAAGACGACCGTGTGAAGGTTTCTTGGGCGAAACAATTGGATGACAAGGCTGCTCCACGGCCCACCGCACGGGATTTGACCATGATTCCCCGTGACCAGATCCGAGTTTGCATTGCGGAGGACAACCCGATTAACCAGAAGATTGCGGTCAAATTCGTATCTGCTCTCCATTTGCAATGCGAAGCATATAGCGATGGTCAGCAGGCTGTGGAGGCCTTGAGGATGAGATCACAGGAGGGAAATCCATTCCATGTTGTTTTGATGGATGTACAGATGCCAACGCTAGATGGATACAATGCCACTCGTGAAATTCGAAAGGACCCAGACCCCAATGTCAATGAGGTTCTTGTTATCGCCATGACAGCAAGTGCTATTGAAGGTGACCGAGAGAAATGCCTGGATGCGGGTATGAACAATTATCTCCCCAAGCCGGTTCGATCAAACGTCTTAAGGGAAATGCTGGACCAATATCTAGCGCCAGTGCCAACGTACACGAGGACGCGTTTGACACTTCGGGAAAGAGGAAGTCTCAGTACTGATCCGGGCACACCGAACAGCATTTCCTCGACGCCTTCAACCGGTTCTGGCGGCCAGACCCCCCCAGAGGAAAATGGACACACTCTCGAGTAAACCAGATTTGCGTCCCTTTCTCAGCTTCTTTCTCATGCCTTATGATTATCCATGATTCCCCCTCGTCTGCAAATCGCCACGGGTCTGCTTCAGCGTCCAGTGAGATAGACAACTTCCTAGGTCTTGGACAAAGATTTATTATATTTTGGTATCCATGAATGAATGGTGTTCTACTGAATATGATGTGGCTATTTTCAGGCTGCGATATGACTTTCTTCGCAGACGTGCAATTTTTGTTTTCTTCTAATTTCTCTTCTATTCCTTAGTGACGATGACGAAAGATAATGATTGATGATTTTCCGTGGTGAAGACCGGAAAACAAAACAATATTCCTCCTAGACATTTTCGTTCTCTTGAGTCGCTTGAGTATGGTTTGATCATGCATCTATGTAATGAACCACTGAGCTTTATCATCTACTTTTATTCCCTGGGCTTTGTTTTACGGTCAGCTTTTAGGGGCGTATACGGGTTCTTTCTCTTAATTCCAAGGTTCCGTACGGTATATATGTTTTTGCTCTATTGGGTGGACCTATAGCCATTCCGGTATCATCCATCCACTTACCTAGGTAGTCTTGGTGTTTCTGTATTTCGGGCTCAAGTTAGCCCAGTTTTGTCCTGCAAATATAGTGGTAGTGGAATAGATAGGCTCCAAATTCGGTTTTATTTCATGAGAATATATCTCTCTGCCTTTCTTCTTCTTCTTTTCGTTTTTCTATCTACAAAGAGAAGAAACCGGGTTGTTTGTCTCTCGATATCTCTTCGATTACTACACGCAACAGAATCATTGCGTAGAGAGATCCCTCTTACCGAAGATACGGAAACGTTTGACACCACCATCAGGCACAAGAGTGAGCTTCACATGAGAAAAGGTCCTGGTATCTTCGGCTCCTGCAGTGAGCTCTGCCCCCTCAAAGACGTGCTCAGTATCCGCCTGGCAGGGGTTCTCACCCTTGAGAAGCTCGACCCAGCCCGTATGGTCATGCGCGGGGACCTCCGGCCCGGCAACCGAGCCGGCAACTAATCCGTGAGCTCTCACCGCGCGGGGGAAGTTCCCGCGGAAGTCTTTAGTGTCGACAACGATCTTAGAGACGGAGCCGGGGAGACCTAGCTTTATAATGGCCCAGTCCACATGGCCCGGGGCGCGCGATCGGGCAGTCTCCCAGCCATCGCCCATATCCTTTCCGCGGCCGGGCAGGATGAGATTCGAGGCCGGGGTATAGTGCTGATCGGAAGCGGCGAGGGCCAGTCCACCCAGGAGCGCAGAGGAGAGCTCGTCCACGGCGAGTTGCGCGGGGGTGTCTCCAGCCGGGGGGATGGCGTGCCCGTATAAGCGCAGACGACCGAATCCGCCGTCAGGATACATAAGAAGCCGCACATGGGTGTAAGGCGTTGCGGGGTGGTAGGCGTTGAGCTTCCAGGCGCGACGCTGCGAGGGACCACAGGTTTGAGGCGGGAGAATGGTTGTCCAGCCCTGGAATTCCGGGTCTGCGATGTCGCTGTCGGTGACGCCACTGCCGGCGGGGGCGTAGGTGCCTTGCAACGCGGCCTTCTCGCCGTAATTGCCCACGAAGAAGCCCGTGTCGACCTCCACGCCCTGGATCGTGCCACTGGCGACGCCCAGCTTGATCACCACCCAGTCGTAGGGCTCGGGGTTGTGGCGTCGGGTCTCCCATCCGTCGTACCAGGCTCCGGTGTGGATGAAGACACCCGGACGGTTGATGGGCCGGGTAGGTGTGAGGAGATTGGAAGCAGCGGCAAAGTATTCGTTGGAGCAGGCGAGAATTTGGGTGTTCAGGGCAGATGAGGCGAGGTTGGTCGTGTGCGCAAAGACCTTGTCAATTTCTTCAGAGGGGACCAAGGTGATGTTGTTGTCGGTAGCCATGTTGGAGATACGAACAGAGTTGTTTCGATAGTTGGTAGAGTTGTAGATGAGAGGGTAAAGGGATAGAGAGAAAGAAGGTGAATATGATTCTTTTTATAAATTAAATAACAACCAGATCATTCATGAGGATGGCTTTGGTTCTATCGATAACTAAGCCCCGCGTTCTGATAACTAACTAGTTAGTTATTACTCGATCCCATCACTTCATCATCATCTTCTTCTTCTGCCTCTTTATTCTCTTCCACACATATATTCTCTCTCACCCCCTCTTCATTGTCATCATCTGTCTCCCTATCCAATACTTCATCTTGTCTTGTTTTCAATTACTCAGTCGCAATCCAGTTCCCTCTCTGATGAGAGCCCTCCTCTCCACTCTCTATCCGCCCCACTCGCCCAAGGACACTCTCTCCATCGGAGGTCTCCGATCCATCGCTTTCTTCCGCATTGCTGTGAATCACCAGAGTTCCCCTCGGTAGGAATGGTCTTTTCTGTGGTCAATGGCATTGTCATTGGCGCATATGATGTGATTCTGCTTCGCCGAACGGCTCTCGCAAGGGATATTCCCCGAGCCCAGCATTCCACGGGGGGGAAACAGTCCTGCGATTCGACAACGGGCTTGCCGCCGTTACAATGACCAACCAAGGCTGCGCTGCTGCGGTATGACGTGTCGACAACAAGAGTAGATTGGAGGTTCCTCTGATCTTTGTGCCTGAGTAACGGCTGGGTGTTTATTCAGATAGCTGGCACGAGCACAGAGGACAGAATGGGCACAACCTACGTCACTCTCATCTGGGGGAAAAAAAAAAAAATTATTATTAAAACTACCGTTTTCTGACAACATAAGAAAAGCCTTCAATCATCAGGTAACACATGAGAATCGTGGCCCCGGGGGGGGCTTCTGAATCTAGATCTAATTGAACGCCAATTATGCTACAAGGGGCCTCCTTCCCTATCTGCTACTCTCAGTTGCCAGTTCTTCCAACATCTTATACCGCCACTCATACTGCGCCAATTGCTTCTTCTCCGCCGGTGACAGGCTCTTGCCCTTGTCTGCCATCTCCTTTTCCACCTGTTTTAGCATCTCCCAGCGTTTGATAATTCGCGCTTGGTGTTCGGAAATGGACGCGAGGTTGGCGTCGTTAGACGATAGGCGGCTATCAATTGTAGCGTGATACGATAGCTTTGCATGGAAGAGTGCCATATCGGATTCATCGTATTTCAAACCGCGGGGCTCCGGCAGGGCGGCTTTGTGAGCTGGCTTGGAAGGCATTTTCGACGAGGGTTCATTAACAGGCGAATGCGTATGACGCTGATATTAAAGAGAAGGACTGGTTGTTTCGTTTGAGGGCTTCGCAAGCAAAGGGACTTTGAAGGAAACTAAATAAGCCACGGATAAACTTCTATTTTATGGAGGGGAGGAGTATCAGAGCAGGAGAAGAAAAGTTTTGGAAGACAACATCTTTTTTCCCTACCAGAAGATGCTTGGTTTATATCCTATGTCACCAGCTCTCAACAACAGCAATCAAGGTAATACCGAGAATCACCGAAACACAACTGATGCCAACATGACAGGGCGTGAGAGGAAGAAGAGGATGCAATCGCAGGATCCTTTTCTTTGCATTTTTTTCCCCCACCGTATCTATGGCTCTCCCAGCCCGTTTCCGGCCCGTTTGTTATCATTGTCTTGTGGCTCTCTTCAAAGCCAATCCACTGGAAGGCACCAACCTCGTTTGTTCCCAAGTCCGGACAAATTGTGAAACCTTTCTGATGGTTCTGGCGCAACCTGGCGTCGGTCTGGAGACCAGAATGTCCATTGCTGCTGCTTCTAGGATGTGCGAGTAGAGAGATGAGTCGGTGAGAGTTATTTTCTTGCAAAAAGTGAACAGGGACTCAAAGAAGGCAATGGAGATCTTCCAAGCCCTTTCAATGCAATGCTTCGTGTATCTCAAGCAGGCAACAAACGCACATGAGTTTTACCGACATCTGACGGAGAATGCAAACATGCCCGAGGCCATGCGATTCCCCCGTTACACACGAAGAGATGCCCGAGAAAGCCTGGAGACGACTTGCCGGCAAGGTAACCTTTCAATATCTTCTCTTTAGCCGAATACTCAAGGGCGTGTCACGTTCCGCAGGAGAAATCTGCTTGATGGAAAGCATAGAATAGAGTAGCTCTCTTCCGTCACAAACAAGCATGCCGATGTATCAGATCAGTCCACCGACCTGAGACATACTTCCACTCGATATCTCCTAGGTCAGTCATTTCTCTGGATCGCCCCTGGGTCTAATCCCCTATTCGGGCCCGCTCCCGAACGGTCTGCATGTAACCGCAGAGTACGTTGTTGTATTACCGTTGCGGTAGAGAAGGTAGACTAGGCAGGGGGCCATCCATTGGAACAAGGCATTAACCAGACATCAATTGAGCATTCCAGAAAGAATGAAAGAAAAAATAAATAAATAAATAACAAACTAGTAAACGCTACACACGTGAGAGACCGAAAGTCTCCAGTTCCTTCTGACAATGATAATGCATGATTGTCCATGATCCCATGCCGTGTGAATTATTGCAAGGTATCATCATCTTCCATAAAACATCCCACTATTGACGAATATCCCAGACCCTGTTTTTTTTTTTTTTATCTCCTCGGTGAGTTGAAAATTTTAAGTCCCAGGGGGGTTTTTTGCCTTGGTATCTGCACGGCAGACGCAGCACGGCCAAGGGGGTCGATCCTCTTAAGAACAGGGCACGCTGAAGAAGAACCACCAATTGGAATACCAGGTCGATGCCTAAGATCTCTTTGCCAGAGCTAGTTAACTATGGGACCAGACAGACCAAGATTAAATGCAGGTCGGCTGTTTTGATTAAAAACGGGAAGTCCATGTTACTTTTGTAGATGAAATCAGGAATCAGTGTGGCTGAAGATTTGGTCTGATTTTTTTTTTTTTTTTTTTTTCCTTGGAATCGTGGTAACTTGTATATGTAGTGCCCACAGTTGCTGTTCTTTTAGTACATGTTGTCAGGTATACGGTATGTACATATAGTCAAGAGTACCTATCATTGCCTGTCCCGGTAGGGTATTGTGTTACTTTGCTTCGAGGCTACCGTATTCACTTCCTGAAGATTAACTATTCATGATGAAAACTGAGAAGAATCAGCTCATACACCTGGTGATCCGTCAAGATTAGACCAGCCCTGCTCAAATCTACTCGAGACCGAGAAGAGCCAGAGAAAGCGAAAAGAAAGAAAAGAGAAAGCCAATTTTTCAAGCAACATGCTCCCGATTAGCTTCTTCCATCTGCCTCTTGGCCTTGTAAATATCCTTGGACATCTTAACCGGCGAAACACCTGGCGTCTCGAAAACAGCATCGATTTCCTCCAACGACAGTCCATACGTCTCAGGGAAGACAAAGTACGACAGGGCCAACTGCACACTGTTGTAGACGATATACACCACCCAGATCTTGTACCCGAGCTTGTCAATGCCGATTGAAATGCCGTAAGTTTGCACCGCACCGGCACCGCCCTGGATCAACCCGTAGAGGCCCATCCCCTTGGCACGCAGCGGGAGCGATAAGATCTCGACTGGGTACAGGTTGTGCATGGTGGCAATGAGCATTGCCGAGAACGTCTGGTACATGAATATCCAGAGAATAGTCAGCGCCGCGGCAGCATGCGTGGCATGTACGCTGTATTGCCAGGAGGTAATGGTTGTTGCGGTTTGGAAGAGGATCATAGTTGCGAGGCCGGAGAAGATCATGGTTCGTCGGCGGAATTTGTCAATAAGCAGGGCACCGACAGCTGTGAAGACGAAGTAGGTGGCTGTCGTGCCGAGAGAGATTCCAAGTTGCTGCATTGAGCCGTGAATGCCGATTGTCTCAAGGGCGGGAACCATCTGGGCGTTTGCTTGTTAGTTTTTTTTTTTTTTTTTTTGAATTTATTTTGTAGGGGGGGGATAGTTTTTGGAAGGGTTTGGGGAAATGAATCGGGATATGTAAAGAATAGATATACGGGGGTGAACTCACGTAGTAGCCGATGATACCACCGCCGTTCCACTGCTGAAAGACAGAGTACAGGAAGAGAACGAACAGGCGGTAGCGCACAGTTTTGGTGAAGAAGACCGAGTAATCCCAGAATTTCTGGTGGCCGGCAGCGCGATCATTCTCAATGGAAGCCTCCATCTGGGAGACAACGATCTCAACGATGGGCTGGTTAATGTCTCCGCTGGTAGTGTGGTACTTGGCAACCACACGTTTGGCGGCCTCACGGTTGCCGCGCATGACATAGTAACGAGGTGACTCTGGGCAGAGCGTGTAGATTCCGATGCAAACGAGAGCCGGGAACACCATGTTGAGGTAGCAAGGGAGGCGCCAGGCCAAGTTACCCTCCAAATTAGATATTCCGATCAACGCAGCGGTCATAGCCAGACTGCCGATCTGGAAACAGGCGCCGAAGAACCCGACCATTATACCACGTAGATGAACGGGAGAGATCTCACCCATGTACTGGGAACTGGAGAGCAAGGCAGATCCAAACCCCATGAGGAAACGCCCACCCTGCAACGCATGCAAGTTGGGCGCAGTGGCCTGAAGGATAGAAGCGACGATGACAATCAAGTTACCGACGAAGTTAACGCCACGACGGCCAAAGACATCGGAAAGGGCCAGGAAAGGAGCACCGCAGACGGTGCCGATGTTCATCAGCGCGTTAAGAAGACCATAAGTGCTTCCACTGGTGCCAAATCCAAAGTACGAGTGCCAGGAATCGAGAGCGTTAATACCACCGATGACGGCCCAATCCACACCAAAGCCTGCCTGGTTGCATCCCATCACGAACATGATGAGAAATAGACGAAAGCCAGTCCAGGAGTAAACATTCAGTGATTCCCTTGAGAGTTTCCAAATGTCCTCATCCGTCAGGCTCGCAAGGACGGCCTCCTCCACATGATCAGCGCTCTTAGGTGGAAGGTCGTTATCCTCCATTGAAGTCACTGTCTCCTTTGTCATAGTTAGTTAATGACTGGGGGTATCAATAAGCAGAAAAGAGCAGAGAAACAAAAAATATGATTTTAACCCCGCGGTCAGAAATCAGACCTGTCGCCTTTGCTAAGTATTATATGCTTGACTCCATAACTGGATGTCAAATTGACCAATTCTTCCCGCCAGCGAGAATACGGCCATAATTCCTTTCCCCATACGTAGTGGCGACTCAGACAAACGATCACGAGCTATGGAAATCTGGAGCCACAAGGGCTCTGGATTGTCTATCAATGGCACCAGGTTCCCCTCCCAGTAGCGGTTCTCAAATTTTCTCGCCAACCTCGAGAATGCGAGAGGTGGACTTTAGCCGGGGGAGAAGCACCAGCAAATCGGCTTCCAGTCCGGGGCCCAGAATTCCCCGGACTCCACATTGCACTAGCTGGAGATGGCCAACCGACTATCATTCAGTCGGGTTTCCTGGCTGAGTGTTGGCTTCGTGCTATTCGATATGTTATCCGGTTTGGGGATTTGATTAATTCTTAGTGGTGCAGGAATCCTCATCTTGCCGCCAGCCAGCCAGCCACAAGAGGCTAATCGAGAAAATGCTGAAAGAAGGGCAGCCCGCTACGGCAAATTTCCACTAATCAAAGCGGTTGGATGAGAGCCGAAAAATGAAAAGACCACCATTGGTAGCAAAGAGACACCACTCATGCTTCAGACTCACGCAATCTGCTGTCCTGAACAATCCCGCCTCCAAGCGGTTTGTTCCAACTAATCGACTGACCATGCTCTCTGGTCCGTTTTCATCTCGGTAAACAGTCCATTTCATCCGTTTCTCTTGTTCAAGCGCTGATGTGAATAAGGACCTTGAGATTCAGCTGAATCATGTCTGAGCTCTGGTATCGAAAACCTGCCAGTGGGTGGGATGAAGCCCTACCAGTAGGTAATGGACGCCTTGGGCAATGGTCCATGGGAGAACAGATACAGAGCTCCTCCAACTGAACGAAGATTCTGTGTGGTATGGTGGCCCCCAAAATCGCCTGCCGGGGATGCTCTAGAGCATTTGCCACGCTTAAGAGACTTGATCCGAAAGGGTGCTCATGCAGAAGCAGAGCAGCTGGTCCGTCGAGCCTTCTTTGCCTCTCCCAACGGCCAGCGGCACTACGAGCCTCTAGGTACTCTGTCGCTCGAGTTTGGGCACCCGTATGACAGGGTCAAAGGCTACAGACGCTCGCTGGACTTGAAAGAAGGCATTTCCCACGTCCAATATGAGTATGAAAATATCAAGGTCCATCGGCAGCTTCTCGCGAGCCATCCGGACGAAGTACTGGCTATGCGCATAGAAGCATCGCACCCCATCGAGTTTCTAGTGCGTCTCAGCCGACTGAGCGAGGTAGAATATGAGACAAATGAGTTCCTCGACGATCTGATCGTAGACAATCGCTCTATTACAATGCACGTTACTCCTGGCGGCAAGGGTAGTAACAGTGCCAGTTGCATGGTTGCGATCCGCTGCGACAATAGCCAAGGGGAAGCACCAACGATCGCGCGAGTCGGCCAGAATCTAGTTGTCAATGCCCGAAAGACTCTTATCCTAATATCTGCCCAGTCGACATATCGGTTCAAGGACATTGACAAGGCAGTAATTGCTGATATAGAGCGGGCACTAGCACTCTCCACTGAGAATATATGGAAACGACATATCACAGATTACCAGGCGCTCTATGACCGCCTAGAACTACAACTTGGTTCTGATGCGACACACCTGCCGACAGAGGAGAGGATCCTGAATGCGCGTGACCCGGGCCTAATTGCTCTATACCTCCACTACAGTCGATTACCTTCTCATATCTTGCAGTAGGCCGGGCAAGGAAGACGGCTCGGATCGCGTGCTCCCAGCAACCCTACAGGGTATTTGGAACCCATCATTTCACCCTCCATGGGGCTGTCGGTACACCATCAATATCAACCTGGAGATGAACTACTGGTCTGCCAATGTGGGGAATTTGTCCGAGTGTGAGCAGCCATTGTTTGCCCTGCTTGAGCGTGTTGCCGCTGCCGGTACGGAAACGGCACGTAAGATGTACGGTTGCCGTGGGTGGACAGTCCACCACAATACCGATATTTGGGCGGATACAGCCCCAGTGGACCGCTGGATGCCTGCGACACCGTGGCCGCTGGGAGGTGCCTGGCTTTGTTTTCACATATGGGACCATTACCGTTTCACGGGGGACAGGGCTTTGTTAGCCCGAATGTTCCCCGTGCTCCGCGGCTGTGTCGAATTCTTGCTAGACTTCTTAGTAGACGACGCTACGGGCAAATACAAGGTGACAAATCCATCTATATCTCCCGAAAATACTTTCTTAGATGAAAACGGAAACCCGGGGGTGCTTTGCGAAGGCTCAACGATTGACATCCAACTGATTCGTGCTCTCCTGAATGCGTTTATCTCAGGAATAACAGTGCTCGACCTTGCTGACGATGAACTTCTCCCGAGCGTTCACGAAACATTGAGTCGTTTACCTCCGATGCGCATAGGATCCGCTGGACAACTCCAGGAATGGATGGCTGACTATGGTGAAGCTGAGCCTGGCCATCGACACGTCTCGCACCTCTGGGCTTTGTACCCGGGTTGGGATATCAACCTTGGCACCACACCCGACCTAGCTAAAGCGTGTGCTATTACCATACAGCGACGTCAAGCAGCGGGTGGAGGCCACACAGGCTGGAGTAGAGCTTGGCTCCTCTGCCTGCACGCCCGATTGGGAGCTGCAGATGAATGCGCGAAGCATCTAGAGCTACTGCTAGCGCAATCCACCCTACCCAACCTTCTGGACACGCATCCACCCTTCCAGATTGATGGCAACTTCGGTGCTGGTGCTGGTATCTTGGAGATGCTAGTGCAGTCACACGAAGGTGTCATACGGCTTTTGCCCGCTTGTCCGGATGAGTGGCGAACTGGAAAGATTCGTGGAGTTCGAGCACGTGGGGGATTTGAACTGGATTTTGGATGGAAAGAGGGGGAAATCTGGGGACCAGTTATCGTGAAGTCAGAGCTGGGACTTCGGACAGTGATCTATTACCCCCATAATGGACTGCAAAAGGTCGTAGAGGGTTCGGGTGTTATTATTCTTCCCGGCGAAGATATCAATTAAATCATATATGTCTGGAAGATGGAAGTTTTCTCGATTGTCTCGTAGGGGCCCATTTCTACACTTCGGTTGCATGGATGACCTGGAGCCATACTGAGGCAGAGAAGCTCCACAAAACATCCTGAAGTCAAAGCTGCACTTAGTATCGTGCGACGTGCTGGCGTTAGTAGCTCTAAAAGCTTCATCTCCATTCCAGCCCCTCTTTCTCACCCCGCCGGAAAATTAGTCGCGGATGTTTTCCAGCAATCAGGGACCGCAATCTAATAGCCAAGCTTTCATTTATCCGAATAAAGACCCGAATGGCCAGGGCTGGTAGTTGGAGGCGTTGACGGTTCCCTTTTTAAGCTCTTTCCTCGAAGGCCCCAAGCTAAGACGATGCAAGTCTAACCGAAGGAAAAAAAAATCTACAGAACAGAAAGAGGCGCAAAGAGAAATCATGGATTTGACTTCTGTTCAGGACCTCAAGGGTGTTCTTCGCAGCGACTTCTTCCACGGCTATGCCACAGCAGCCCCCCAAATTGAGGGAGCCTGGAACAAAGATGGCAAAGGCCTTTCGATCTGGGACACCTTTGGTCACAAACCAGGAAAAATCAAGGACGGCAGTACTGCGGACGATGCAGTGCGGTCCTATGACTTATATCGGGAGGATATCGCCTTGATGAAGTCTTACGGAGTCAATGGCTACAGATTTTCTCTGTCCTGGTCGCGCATCATTCCTCTTGGAGGCGCAGAGGATCCCGTCAACGAACAAGGTATCAAATTCTACCAGGATTTGATAGACGAAATGCTCCGCAACGGTATTACACCATTTGTGACCATCTTTCACTGGGATGTACCCCAGGCTCTAGAGGACCGATATGGAGGCATGTTAAACAAGGAGAAGTTCGTTCCTGACTTTGTTCGTTTCGCGCGCGTCTGCTTCGAGCACTTGGGCACCCGCGTGAAGTACTGGATTACTTTTAACGAGCCCGGAGTGTATTCACTAGCAGGGTATGCAGCGGGTGTCCATGCTCCTGGACGCTCGTCCTACCGCGATCTCAATGAGGAGGGCGACTCCTCTACAGAGCCTTTCATCGTCAGCCATACGCAGCTGATAGCTCATGCATACGCTGCGAAGTTGTACCGAACGGAATTTCAATCCGAGCAAAAGGGCACAATCGGAATCACCCTGTCCGGCAACTGGTCAGAAGCCTGGGATGAGGATGACCCACGCGACCAGGAAGCTGCCGAGAGAGCCCGGGAGTTTGAGATCGCCTGGTTTGCGGATCCTCTGTACACGACTGGCGATTACCCTGCCTCTATGAGGGCCCAGCTCGGTGATCGTTTACCACACTTCACGCCCGAGGAATCGAAGCTAGTGCTAGGCAGCTCTGAGTTCTATGGTATGAACTCCTACACAACCTTCTTCATGCAGCATAAGGATACTCCTGCCGATATCAATGACCACAAAGGCAATGTTTTCATCCACGACACGAACAGTAAGGGCGTCCCCCGAGGAGAGGAGTCTGACACGCCTTGGCTGCGCATGGCACCAGCTGGGTTCCGTAAGCTGCTCAACTGGATCTGGTCAAGGTACCACATACCCATTTATGTCACTGAGAATGGCACTACTGCAAAGGGTGAGACAGCGCCAACATCGGAAGTGCTCAATGACACCTTCCGCCAGCGATTTTTCGAGGGGTATGTTGGTGGTCTGGCACGAGCTGTCAAGGAAGATGGCGTGGATGTTCGCTCATACTTTGCCTGGACATTTACCGACAACTGGGGTATGATCCCATCCATATCTCCTGTCTTATTTTGAAGAAACTAACCAGAGTAGAATGGGCCGCTGGTTACACTGATCGATTTGGATGCACTTTTATCGACTATGATTCTCCTGAGAAGACTCGCTACCCGAAGCAATCGGCATATTATCTGAAGGCACTGTTTGAGCATTTGATTGCTGCATGATGAAATGATGATATGAGCAGAAGAAGGGGTATTTCTAATCCGGGTGAAACTTGAAGAAGAAAGAGAAGAGGGGAAAAAAGGGGGGAAGAAGAAGAGGTTATACCTAGAACAAAAAACACATATATAGATAAAGTGATACAAGGTATATACAGCTCGTATAAATACAGACACTGTATTGAAATCCTGTTACACTGTAATCAGTTGTTACTTCACGTGTGAAAGCGGTATCTCACAGCAGAATAACTGCGGTTTCCCAAGAAATTCCTGGATAGCTTCATCTTGGCTCGTTGGGGCTAATTGTCCACGAGTCCAACATCACCATGCTGTCCGTATCCCATAGGGTCTGTATTTACTGCAGACTCTCTTGTCGCTCTTTTGCCTCCATCACGCGT